ATCGGCGTGTCATTTTAAAAGCGGTCACATTAGAGTGGGAATGGCTTCGAATGATGTTGAAAATAATTTAAGTATTACCATGGGGGCGAAAAATTGAATACACTTTAGGGTATGAGCGGTATCCCAACTGAGGTTTGTAAAAGTTTGTAGAATGCCTTCCTTATTTTAGCTCAGATATTATCATATGTATTCATAAACCATGTAATCACTTTATGTGGACAAATGCGGAAATGGTCAAACCCGAACAGAAGACGGACCGTAAAAAGAAATATCTTTCCACCGGATATGCGAGTTTTCATTGTTATCGTTACGTTGTATCTTTAAGAATGCTAGAAAACTTTCTGACTTGAGTCAAGTAGCTCTAATCTATCAAGAATCGTTGTATTTGCAAACGGCGGAAGAAGATTTAAATTTCATATTCAAAGTGATTATTACATCAGGCCATTTGAAACGAGGTGGGAACTAACGAGTAGATCAGTCCCCGGAAACATTTTAAAAGAAAAGCAAAGGAAGTTTTTACAACGTTAATGTCACAAATTTGGTCATCCCAAAACTGTGATATTCGTCATTTGAAATTAGCTATTGACGGCCACTAAAGCGATCCGGTATAGCTTCAGTTCTCCCAGCTCAAAGCGAAAATAATACAATGATTTAACGCTGTACTTACCTTGAAGTTTACGTACTTGTTGTTCTCGCTGACACGACACAGACCGAGGTGAAATAAAGTTTATCAGTCATATGACTAGCCTCTCCTTTTTCTTTTGTCTTAAGATTGCACTTATTGGATCTATAGTTGCATAAACAAGTGGCGTGAGAGCCAGGTATCCTGGGGGAAGGGAAAGGGTTACTAGGATAGGCCGTTTTTAGTAACTTGAACAAAAACTGCTATAATCAAGAATGTGGTCTTGGGTTTGTGAATGCCCTCCTGGCGTCTGTGTTTTTAATCTTACTCCTGTCATTGATTAGAACCCCTGTCAGTAGTTACCAAAGTCACGACATTAAAGGTTTTGCTCTTCAGTCTTTTTTCGTTTTCTTTTAATTACATGTGTAAGTAAGTTTATACTGCATTAGAAATTGGGAAATTGTATTAATAATCACGTTAGGACACTCCAACTTCTTCTTTCTTTTGCAACGTTTCTTTTGAGCCATCCAACAGGAGCACTTTTGGAATGATGCTGAATGCTGTTTGAGACTGAAAATATTCTACTAAATTCTTGCAATAGCTTATCAATAAGTTGGTGTTTAAGTTTGGACAATTAGCTTAGCTAAGCGAGGAGAAGAAAACTGTCAGATATGATGGCTTAGTGAAATGCTTCCTTAAAATGCTATACATACTTTGAAGCTCAATAACTTGTGGTTGTTCATGTAGTTAGAAGAAAAACATTGTATTTGAATTATTATTGAAAGTGAGGCTGCCAAAAATGGCAAATATTTCTATCATGAAAATAAGCTCTTGGCTTTGTTTATCCCCCCAGGTGCTATTTCTATCGCAAAATGATTCATTTTGCCCGTAATTGTTTTTATGACTTAAAAAATTTGCTCTTCGGTTTGCGATATATTTTGTTATGTATGGCCGTCCACACAGCACTGAAGAGGCTTAATAAATTTGTGATAAGAACCACGGCATGTTCTTGGCTGTTCTTGGCTGTAAGATATTAGGCTTCCACATGAGGGATCAAGCGATTTTAATAAGGAAGTATGTATGGTAGAATTAACTTTTTTTTATCTGGAGCATCGGAGCGATGAATCTTGTTCACAGTTTTGAAACATTTTGAGATCTCAGCCGAAATAACCAGCCAAAGAAGAGTTGCGAGGAGTATCATTACGATTTACGATATTCTTTTTGGTCGTTTTCGACCTCCAATAGTTGATGCAGGTTTTGTTTTTCTATGACATCAGGCCCTGGATAACGAAACATGCTCCGACATATCTGTTTAATGATGCGTTGCGAGGCTTTTTGCATGCTCTCTGACAATTTTGATGCTATTTTTGTCGCTGAATGATTCATTCGTTCTAGAGTTTTGTAGTCATCATGACTGCAAATATTGTGTGCATTACTCGCTGTACATTGACGCTTTCCTTCCTTCAACCCAGATATAATCGTATGAATTCACAAACTGTTAATCACTTTATGCGGACAAATGCAGAGGTGTTCGTTCGCAGTTGAATATCAACGGAAGTGACGCCAAACAATAACTAATCACCTTCTTCGTTTGGACTAACGAACATTTGTTTACAATGGTGCTTCAAAGCCGAGGGCATAAATATAATTATTCGTTAGGCTTCACCGGGCAACATAGTACCAAAAAAACCGAGCGAAGGACCACTCTTACTATACCAACTTTTCTAGATCCAGCTAGATGGTAGATTTGGTGTTTTGCAAAAGGATTAAGTGATCCTGATTCTACAAAACACGATTAACGCAAGGCCCAAGATACGGAGAACACTTATCATCACAATTAATATTGTTTTTAAT